CACGAGGGCCAGGCTTGGTTTTGACCATGTCTGTAAACCACAGATATCCATATAACGCACTGATGCAGTATTTGCAGTCTAACAGGACCACGAACCGTGTGATGGGCCGAGAGAAAGCGAGGCTGCAACGCACGTGTCTGGCCGGCTCGCTTTGCAGGCAAATGAATTAGGCAACTTAGTCGTGGCGCCACACAAACCTTGGAAGTGGCGGTCCTGTCAGTGGCTTGTGAGGTCATTCGGTGCCTGGAGCGCTTCAATTCACATTCACTTCCCCTTTACTGTCAATTTGCTTCTGCCTCAAGGCGACATCTTTTCCTCGCACACACAACTTCCAATGCATCGTATCGCTTCATGACATATAGCCACAATCTCTTTTCTACCTTTCGCGCTTTAGCGGCGCGGCGACTCCTTCCACCATGGCGCCTTCGTATCCCACTCCAAGTCTCCGGGGCGTCGACTCTCCCCGTGCAGGGCCCCAGAAAGGTACGAATACTCAAGCACCGCCGCCCATCCCTTTCCCTGCAACACAGCAAGGGTCACTGGAGGCTACGCCGCATTGAATTTGCCGCCGGAAATCATTTGTCTGAGCGATTCTGAGGCACTGTGTTACTATTTCGCCCACATTGTCCTTGCTTTTTGCTGCACAAGGGCCTGCTGTGCCACCGCTCCTTGATGCCTTCCTACTGGACGAGTGAGAGCTAGGCTAAGCAGGCCGCCACCAAACTGATAAGAGATTGCGAGCACGTGCGTGACTACCGTCTCCATCACCAGGCATACAGTACAATTACTGGTCACGCGACCCATTTCCTTTTGTCGCCGTTCGTTCTGGGGAAGACAACAGGGTTGGGTCGACCAAACGAGTGGCTGTTTGTGGCCTTGCGCGTGAGGAAACGGCACCTACACATGGGGCGGATGTTTGCTTTTTATGCTTCATCTGCTACGCATTACACATTGGAAGAACAATGAATGCAATCTGACATCTCTTATAACACAGGTGTGACCATCTTCGACGAGCCAGAACATATCCCCGAATCAAACGCCAAATTCCTGGCAGACGATAAGACTCCAGAATTGGGCCACTCTCTGACATCCGCTGGCTCGCAGAGCCCCAGGATTCACCGTGCCAGTATCTCAGGCAAGAAGTTGACTGGCAGACCAGCCGTGAACCAGACCCATTCTTACACTTCCTCGCCGGGAGCTCCGCTCACCAAGGCCATGTCGTATTTCAGTCTAGACGATGATACTGCTGCCCGGCCGTCGTCAATGGCAGGAGGAGGGAGCATGACCCCGGGCATGACGCCCGCAGAAAGTAGGACTCCGGATTTGCGAGGTGTCCTTTCTCAAGTCGCCGAGTGGCTCCAGGAGGAGAAGTCGAAGAGGCACAAATGGGGCCGTCACCGGCACGGCCATCATCGCGATCAGCACCTTCAGACTCCAGAAATCCAGCCCGATGAGACGAAGACGTACGACACTGCGCCCGACCAGGAACAAGACCTCTCCTTGGCAAAGCTCGAGAGCATTCTACAGGGTTTCACTGGTGACGCCTCCAGACTTCTGAGAAAGACCTCGACTGCCGGCTTGAGAAGAGGCTCGATAGCGTCGAAGTTCAAGCAGGCTCGCTCGGTGCCTGCTGGGTCGTCAGACACGGAGTTCTACGGGGAGGACATATTAGTCCCCAACGTGGAAGCAAAGCTAGACAACACCAAGACGATGGCTTTCACAGGTGGAGCCACGGATGGCGACGCCACTGACAAGGCCAAGAGGAAGGACTACGACCACTGGGTCACTTTCAAGCAAGACATCTTGCGATTGACGCACACGCTCAAAATCAAGGGTTGGCGGCGCATTCCTCTTGAACGCGCCGGCGAGATCGACGTAGCCAGATTGAGTGGGGCCCTTACCAATGCTGTCTACGTCGTCCACCCCCCTAAGAATTTGCCCGAGCCCGACACGTCTAAACAGTCTGACCTTACTTCCGCTCCAGCTGCCCCTGTTTCGAGAAGGCGTCCTTCACCCCTACTTCTGCGCATTTACGGACCACAAGTTGAGCATCTGATAGATCGTGATGCTGAGCTCAACATTCTCCGTCGCCTGGCTCGGAAACGAATTGGCCCTCGTCTCCTGGGTTCATTCGATAACGGCCGCTTCGAGGAGTTTCTGCAAGCGAAGACTCTGACGGCTGAAGACCTGCGAGTCCCCGAGACATCGAAACAGATCGCCAAGCGGATGCGCGAACTCCACGACGGGATCGAATTGCTCGAGTCTGAACTCGCGTCTGGACCGGCTACCTTTGTGAATTGGGACAAATGGGTCGATCGCTGCGAGAAGGTGATCACGTGGCTCGACGCGCAAATTCATCAAGCAGAGGAGGAACTTACCGCTGGCACCTCAAGACGCAACTCTCTAGTCAATCCCCGTTACGTGCGGCGTGGACTCATCTGTGGGGTGGAGTGGCCCATCTTCCGGCGCACCTACGACGCGTACCGGAGAAGACTCATCACAGAAAGCGGCGGCCCTGAGGGAATCCGTAAACAGCTTGTCTTTGCACACAACGACACGCAGTACGGCAATCTCATGCGGCTTCAACCGTCCGGGACCTCGCCGCTCCTGCAGCCCTCAAATCACCACAAACAACTTGTGGTCATTGATTTTGAATACGCAGCTCAGAATTTGGCCGGACTGGAGTTTGCAAACCATTTCACCGAGTGGTGCTACAACTACCACAACACCCCGGACAAGTCATTTGTATGCGACACCAGGAGATACCCTACCGAGCAGGAACAATACCGGTTCGTGAGGAGCTACGTCATGCACCGTCCACAATTCAATCCGTCAGCGAGTGCGACGCCCAAAATGGAAGCCAGGGAGAAGACGAACATCAGCGATTTCATGCTCGACGCACGGACACCCAGTGGTGTGGCCGGGTCGTCAACCGGCTATGTAGGTGGAGCTGGAGCAGTTTTCGACTACGACAAAGAAGAGACAGAGCGAGAGAAGGCTCAAGAGGAAGAGATCCAGCGGCTATTGCAGCAAGCCAGAGTATGGAGATTAGCGAACTCGGCCATGTGGGTTGCCTGGGGGATCGTGCAGGCGAAAGTGCCCGAGCTGGATGCGATGGAAGAGAAGGAAAAGATGGCGAAGAAAGTAGGCCACGCGGTAAATGAAGGTAGAAAGGGTCTCGCCGACAAGGTGTCTACTGGGGAGAAGAAGGTCGTGGACAAGGTCAAGAAAATGGTGGCCGATCACGGTTACAAGAGTGGTCAACGGCCACTTCCCATGTCGGACCCACTCACGCAAGAAGAGAAAGAACTTCAGCTGGAGAGCCGTTGGGACCGGCCCGAGGGGAGCGCACAAGAGGCGGCACATCGGGAAGGGGATGGTCATGCCGTGGTTGAACAGCCTGATCGCACCAGCCTTGATGGTGTTGGGACTGACCCAGAACACGCAATCTCCATCAACGGCGACGGCGACGGAGACAAACCCGATCCCTTATCTCCGTGCCAGCCTGGAGCTCAACCGGGCGCTGCTGCTGATGATGTCTCTGCTCACTCGTGCACCGACTCGGCCTCGGACACTCCAGAGCAAGAAAGCTCGGAAGAATTCGACTACCTCGCCTACGCGCAAGAACGCGCCATGTTCTTCTGGGGAGATTGTATCCAGATGGGTCTGATCAAGGAGGAGGAGCTACCCAAGGAGTTGATCGAAAAGGTCAAGGTCGTGCCCTGGTGAAAAGCATATCTGGTAATGCGTATTCCATGTGCTGGGAATCTGGGAATCTGTGAGATGCGGCGGAACGGCGCCGGAAACCGTGGCAAGGACGGAGTACTATGTATTGGATACGGTACTGGACAAAGGGAAGTTGCAACTGCAACTGCAATGATGCTCTGGGGAAAGTCAGAAAAGTCATCACCTCTGACCTTGTCATCAACTCTGGATACGGATGAGATGATGATTTGGCGTCGGCCCTGTCCCCGTCTAGTTTATGAGTGATTGATTTATGAGTGATTGGTTGAAGGAACGATTGAACGATTGAATGGACTACCTACTTAGGGCAGGTCAGGTATCTTCTGGCGTAACGGACGAGACAGAGTACAAAGAAGCGTATTCGTACCACCAGTAGTGTACGGAGTAATACAGAGTACGGAGTACTACATGTTGAATAGGTATTGAATAAATCAATGTGCCGAGGGACTCCTGCAGGACAGTTGGGTGACAGTACCGAGTAAATTGAGTATATAGTAGAGTAGAGTTTATATCTGCTGTTCTCCTCGTACAGGACCTGTATGGATGCTCCTCCCCCTGGAGCATTGCAGTCCAAGTCATCATTTCGCATCGCCTCATATCACATCACCTCGTATCGCAAGGCTAAGGTAGCAATGCTACCGATGCCACCGATGCGTCTACGGCTAAATACTGTAAATAACTAAATGTGTAGCATGTCAGCCCGTCGGAATGTCCATCGACCAACCGACAACAGGGAGGACGGCAGAGACGGAGAAATCGATCGTCGTGACTGATTGAATCTATCCACTGTATTTTCGCGGATTCCTTCCACCCACCATCAACAAAACAAGTCTGGATCTACCGACAACTGACTTCCCAAGTCTTTGTCTCCTGGGACTTTTGCGATGCGGGAACCTCAAGTTTCAGTAGTAAAGGAACGTGAGTCCAGGGCTGAATCGCACGAGGTGAGGATGCTGAGCCACCACCACATCTGCTATCGTGAGGCATCAAGCATCAAGCCCCAAGCTCCAAGAATCGATCATCGATCATGTTGCCTTGAGCTCGAATGTCTCTGCGCCTCTCTGGACCGGACCAGACCGCCAGACCGTTGACGCAAAACTTCATTCATGTCTCCGGCCGCAACGAACCAGCTCGTCGCACATCGACCAGGTTGCCTTGCTCAAATATCTCCGCCTCTCGGGACCAGACCAGACCATCGACGCACAACTTCACATTCACGTCCTCGGCCGCTACTGACAGGCTCGTTGCGAATATCCCTACCGCCACGTCCTGCCACTGCCAAGCCTCTGTCTCTCCCCTTCCACCAAATGCCGTTCCAGGTCATCCTCGTATTTGTGCGACATTCTTCTCCCTGGATTCGTACTTGCACTTCCGGATCCAGGAGCGCCCGCTTGTTTCGCTCGTCGTTGCTGTTCCTTGAGCATGCGTTCCCGGGACAACTTCTCCCGTTCGATGGTGTACATGTCCTTTTCCTCGGCGAGCTTGGACGCTGCCGCCGACGGTTGGGAGGGTGCAGGCGCCGGCGTCCCGTTCGCGCTCGAACGGTGAGACTGAGAACGGCCATTGGGGAGGGCGGTGGAGTTTGTTGTGCCGTTATGCTCCGACGTGTCGCGATGGTGGTCTTTCTTGTGGCGACGGGAGCGGTGTCGGGACTCGGATTCCTCGACAGTTTCTTCTTGTTGCTCGTAATCGTAGTCGTAGTCGGCGTTGTCCTCGCGGTGGCGGTCGTGGCGGGAGCGTTTTCGGTGATCGCGATCACGGTCTCGATGTCGGTCTTCGCGATCTCGCTCCTTATCGCGGTCCCGGTCTCGGGTCTTTTCTCGATCTCGGTCTCGATCACGGTCGCGGTCGCGATCACGCTCTCTCTCTCGCTCCCGCTCTCGCTCCCGGTCATCGTACTTGGACGATTTGGTGCTTCGGTGTTTGCTTCTGCTTTCGCCGTATGCGTCTCGGCTTGACCGCGTCGAGTCTTCGTAATCGTCCATCTCGTGGTCGCCGCTGGCATCTTCTTCGTGATGCCGTCGTGAGCGCGAGGAATGCTTGGACGGTCTTTCCTTATCATTTCGACTGCGGCGCGAGGAAGACTTGTAATCTGCCGACTCAGATGGAGCATAAGAAGATTCCTGGTCATCCCGCTCGTATTCATCGTGGGTGTCTCGCTTTGACGACCTCCTGGATCGCTTATCCTGATCGCGATGGTCCCTCTCGTCTTGGGCCTCGGTTTCACGCCTCGAACTGCGGTACTTTTCCTCTTTGTACGGCCGTCTCGAATGGTCTCTGCTCTCTCGATCGGGTGATTTGCTATGAGCTCTGTCAACATCCCGTGATTCTGACCTTGACGACGCCGTCATAGATGCCCTGCCCATGATCTGGAACCCCGTCGCCGCGGATCGAGAGACTGGTCTCGTAGGCGCTGGTGCAGGCGGTTCACGCATCGCTCTAGGACCCGTTGGCGCACCAACGACACCGACCCCCTTGGGCTCTGTCAGTGGTGAGGAAGGTGAAAAGGGCTTTACTTGTGAGGCAACATGACCATTTGACATGGACACTGAACCACGACCGCGCGACGAGAATCTACCGTGTCCTCGAGAACGGAACCCATAGTCACCATATTGAGCCGAAGGACCCAGCGGCGCGGATGGTGGTGCCATCGAACCTTGGAGATCCTCATTGTAAGCCTCTGGTATTGGTTTCTCTGGCGCAGCCGAGGGAACAGGCTCAGGAGGCTCTTGCTCGACGGACTCAGGCTCGTTCTTAACGGCAGCCTCGGTCACGTTATCAATACTCAGGGCATCAGCTTGCCGCGCGGGCTCCGGTTCACCCGTTCCATTAGCATCTGCAGCGATGGCGACCTCAGGAGTAGCAGTGCCCGGGGCGACACTTGACTTCTGGTAGTCTTCACCGAGGGCCTCCTGGACCTCCTCTTGGCCACCAGGGGCAAAGTCATCATCTTCATGACTCTCGTCGACAACCTCACGATTGTCTTCGTCTTCTTGGTGGGCGCTCGTCGCGGCGCGGTCATTGTGCATCATGTGAGACTGCGTGTTGCGGTTATCGAATTGCCGCGGACCGGGGCCGTTTTGATAGCCCTGTGGTTGTTGATACTGCGAGTACTGATTGAAGTTACCGCGACCTCTTCCAAAGCCGCCACGACCGCGAGCACGGCCTCTGCCATAGCCGCGGCCGTTGTGGTAAGCATTTGGGAAATCACCACCTGCGTAGTTCTGCTGAAAGTTGCCATTTGGGGCCATGTTGAAACCATAAGCGGAACCAAGGTTATTGCCCATGCCATTCGGGAATGCATTTGCATTATTATTCTGCCACATACTGTTGCTCTGGCCGTTCCAGCCATACATCCCTTGGGTGGGATCGAAGTTCATGCCCATGTTCATGCCATTCATTCCATTCATGTTCATGCCTCCATTGGGACCGCCAAACCCGCCGAGCATGCCAGACATTTGGTTCATATTGGACATCATAGTCACTGCAGTCGGATTCCGTCAGCATGAGAAACATCATATCGTGATTGACCGTTCAGACTCACTCATCATGGGGTTGAAAGGCATGCCGTTCTGCATGTTGGCCTGCATCATCTGCATCATCTGCTGCATTTGGGTCGCGTCCATGTTGTTATTGAAGCCACCCATATAATCCGAGATTTCAACGCCATTCATCCCATCAAAGCTGTTGTTATTGAGCGCGTCTTGTGACTGCGGCTGAAGGGTCTCGAAGGATTTGGTAGATTGGGGTTGAGGAGTTTCTTCTGCGCTCTTCGGTCGTTGGACGGGAAGTTGCTGATGGTCGTCGTCGAGTTCTACTTGAAATTCAATGTCGTCGTCGTTATCGACGAACTCGTGATCAGGTTCCTGAGAGGATAAGTTAGAGGTTGCAGAAGAAAAGTAGGAGGCGGCTGTAAATCACCTCGATGGAAGGTTGTAAGTCGGCGGCTGGCGTCCCTTCAGTCTCAACTGCGTCGACCGGCGGCTGGTCTTCTGCCACAGCTGCGGCATTCGCCGTCATTCCTGCTTGACCATCGCCATTCACCATCGGTTTGTCCGCGGATGGTTGCGCGGCATCCGCTTTGTCCTGTCCGTCGGCTTTGGCCTTCTCTTGACTCTTGAGCCAGGTCTTGACTGTGGCACGCATGCCTTTATTGGGCTTACAGATGTCGTCGGTAAAAGGTTTGTGTTCGCATTTGGGACAAGTCGAATTGCGGTGGTCATTGAAGCCTGCCGGCGGTCAGCTGGGTGCCAAGATGAAGAGAGCCGAGATTCACTGACAGGATTCGCAGATGTAGACATCGCAACAGGATGTCTTGTAAGGGCTCAGATTGAGATTGTGGCAGTTGGTACATCGTAGTTTTTCGGGAACTTTGTCCAAGTCTAACAGGCTGATGTTGTCAGTCAAGGTGATCAAGAGGTGGACACTTCAAGCTCACTCAAGGACTTCCTTCAGAGACGCATCCAGCGCTATGGCAGCCATGGTGATGGCTGGGCCTTTAGAAGACTCGCAGGTGTGATTGTCGCAATTATGAATGGGACCTCGGAAAGATCACAGCCATTAGAAGCCAACCAGCAAGAGCGTCTGGTAGACTGTGACGCGACTTTCAAAGCAGGGATAAGTAGCAAATATTCAGAACATGTCTCAGTGAAGATCTAATGTATATTGAACAGTACCGACGGGCAGTAATGGAAAGGCAGTTTTCTGGAGAGTCTCTCAGTCGCCAGACCACGACCTCAAGCCACGAGAGGCTGCCTAATAGAGGCTTCGCGCCTGCAGCGAAGGTCGCCGGGTGACACTAGAGCGGAAAGAGCTAGCGGGTCTCGACCCCTAAGGATTCGCAGATCGCCGGGAAAAGAAGCTTGGAATGGTGAGATCACCAGCCGGCCGAAGGGTGGAAGGGTATGTGCCCACTAACTACAGCAGATGTACACAGTACGAGGTATCTCGCAGACATTCAAGACTTCAACTTCCGTGTACATTCCTCTGTTTCAGTACACCAGTTTCCTCTGCGCACAGCCTCGCACTTTTAGATTTCGTACAGTCTCTCATTCATTTCAGTCGGCACTGGATTGGGAGGGTTTCAACATCCAAGGGCTCGACGTCACTGGAGCGAGTGATCCGTTTGATCCAACACACCATCAGCCACGAGAACAATGATCTTGGGGTCAATAAATGGACTCGACTGCGTTGCCTTCGTTATTTTCCTTATACCACAACTACTGTACCAAGTAGCGTTCCGCGAGCTCTTGGTTGTAGCCGCCCAAGTAATCCCCTTCCTTGGTCCGTCCGCATATCATCCTGAGCCAGGAAGGAGTACTGATAGTTCGTGGCAGCCTTTCAACTACCATACCAGCTGGTATGTGAACGATATTATATGAAAAAGCAGTCACAGTCGCCCTTCACTCGGCATGCCACGGTTTTCCAAGACGTGGTGATTCGCTGCGTCCGGTTCGCATTTGCCAAAATTCCCGCCGGTGTGGGAAGGGTCTTTTTCTCAAAATGGGTGGCTCTTCCCTTCTTTAGATTCCGTCTGCTGCGACATGGGTATCTGCACTGTCCGATATTCTATCGGGAGGTCATCCGACATGACACAAGAGGACTTTGGATCATCGAGGATGCGCATATCGAGCCGGACATCATCGTATACTACGCCCATGGTCAGTAATCGAGCATGCTCTTTTAAACCTAACTGACCTCTGCTGTTGCAGGGGGTGGCTTCTCGATGGGGTCCGCATATTTCTATATCGAATTTCTCATGGCCTGGGCCACCCGACTGAAAGAACGCGGGTTCAAGAATCCAGCCGTCTTCGCCCTGGAATACACCCTCGTTCCAGATGCTAGGTGGCCAATCCAGTTCAACGAGACCCGTGCAGGATATACGTTTCTTCGAGAGACGTTCGGAGACAGTTCGGCTGCGAAAATTTGCGTCAGTGGGGATTCGGCAGGGGCAACCCTCATTTTGAGCATGCTACTCCAGCCCGGTCATCTCGAACAAGATCCTCAATTCCGCGCTCTGCATCGGCCAGGCCTAGCGATCCTGCTGAGCCCATGGACACACCTCGTGTCTGACCTGAACCACAATACGCGCAGCGACTACCTAGATAAGAACAGCCTTCATCTGTACGCAAAGCAATACGCCGGTGAGGCGACCATGACCGATGGTGTTATTTCACCGGGCCTTTGTACGGGGCGTTGGAAACAAGCATCGCCACTGAGTGGTTATCGCATCCTATACGGCTCGGAAGAAGTGTTTGCGCCTGGGATCCAAGAAATGGTCATGAACATGAAGAAGGACGGAGCTGTGGTCAAGGTCCATGAGCAGGAAGCAGGGATTCATGCCTGGCCTGTGGTGAGCTTGTTCCTGGGCGAAACTCGTGAAGAACGGCTTCGGGGCCTTGATATAATGACCGATGATGTGATGTCCTCGAGTCTTGCTTCGGCCATCAAATAGGACGACGTGCACTGGCACGCGTCAAGGCTACAGTGCCATCAGATTAGATCAAGTTTTCAGGTCTTTCATCGACAGTGGTTGGACATGCAAACCGACGACCACAGTCTGACAACTGGGTTGCTGCTATGCTCTTAAATGTCGGCCACTGTCTCCAGACTGCTCTGTCGTCATTTGGCAATGAGCGATGAAACAATGAACGGCTGCAGGAGTGTGGATTTCGACATTCCATGTCCGGCGCGTCAAGTGAACGTGAGTGTCGACGAACGCGTGCGATGACACGAAACGCATGATGCATCAGATTGAAGTTGTCGACCGATCTGCCGACATCACCAAATTGTCAGCGTGAGTCTCAACAGCTAACAACAACAGCGCAGTCATGGATGGACGCCGCTGGGCTGGAACTGGCGGGGTAGCAGCGCTGTCAACAATGGAGACGGACCAGAAAAATCAGAGCGAGCTGTGGAAAATGAGGTGGGACAAAAAGGGCAAGTCGGAGATGGCGGGATTGATTGGTCGCGTTTGGGGCGTAGCGGCGTTGATCTGATGATCGGATTGCGCATTTCCCCTGCCGCTGCGGCCTGGATCGATGGCTCGCCGAATGTTTTTATAAGGCCCCTCCATCCCCTCGCTCTCTGCCGCCCGGACGTGCAGCATTATTTTGAAACCGGATGACCCGTTTGCCAACTCGGAACTCGCTCATACCCACCACCCTCCCCCCAAAGGTCCCCATCTCGTCGGATTTACATTCATCCTGTCCCGAAGCGCGTTCACTTGATGCTTCACATTGTTGGTCATTATTGAAACTGTCGCAGTGACGTCTGGCCTGGGTCGTGTATTCACGTCGTGGCGTGTGAACGGGCCACTGCCTCAGATCGACAATGCAGGCAGTCGCGAAGTAAAGTCATATGTGAACGCAGCTTGGTTCTGTCCAAAATGAGTTCGATCACATTCACTGCACCATCATCCACTACTGCAAGATCACCAGTGCTATTACTCCCCCGGACTTTCTGCACCACCGACCAGCTGCAACCTTTATTCGCTGCCAAGCAATGAGTGAGGAACACGAAAATCCCGAGTCATCATACCGCCCCAGCAGCCCAGATCTATCAGGCTTCACAAATGCCACCGCCCCACCACCCAGACTAGCTCGGATTCCAAGCTACAACGTGCCGGATCCAAATTTCCCGCCAGGCTATTCATTCAGTCCCAGAGGTAGCTACGACGCTTCGCCCTTCTTTTCCCCTTCGACTGCCACGCCCTCGACATCATATTTTGGTTCACGCCCTCAGCCACCGAGCCAATTCTCTCAACAAAGCCCATACTCGCCGCAAACTTTTCGCACTCCAAGCTTACCAGGGCAAATCCCCGTGCAACATTCTCCGCCCCTTCAGTCTCGTGCCTTGGGTCAACCAACATATAATAACCCACCACCGCCTCAGCACCAACAGCCGTCGTCGCGGTCACCCTTCAGTCAAACTCTGAATCAGCCGTATCTCCCACCATTCCCGGCTCAGGTCACACAGTACGGAGATATGCCCCGAACAAGACGGCAACAGGCCGCCGAGGCACAACAGGATCCGGACTTTCATGTCGACGCATCTCCCAAGCATGCCGTACAGCCCAAAGCCGAGTCAGCACAACCTGTGCAACCACCCATGCCTGCGGCCCCCGCAGATCTGACGGCAGGTATAGACGTCAGGACAAAATTCCCCGTCGCTCGTATCAAGCGTATCATGCAAGCCGATGAGGATGTCGGCAAAGTTGCCCAGGCCACGCCTACGGCCGTCGGTAAGTGTTCTCCCTAATTTTGTCTAACAATCCTCCTGTTCTAATTTGTATGCAGCCAAAGCCCTTGAGCTCTTCATGATAGCGCTGGTCACGAAAGGAGCAACGGAAGCAAGAGCCAACAACTCCAAGCGGGTCACAGCACAGCATCTCAAAGCAGCACTGATGAACGATGGCCAGTTTGATTTCTTGAACGAGATTTGCGAAAACATTCCCGATGAGAGTTCGAAGAAAGGCCGTGCCAAGTCTGAGGCCAAGAGCGAAGATAGCGATGAAGAAATCAAGCCCAAAGGGAAGGGGAAGGGTGGAAGAAAGAGGAAAGCTGACACCGATGATGAAAGTGACTGAGGGAAACCATAAGCCGCCCATTCTATGGGAGCCGGTAATGTATGACTATCAAGACGACCACCAGGTGAGCTGCCTATGCTGGACTAGCTTTGCTGGACGTCGCGTTGGACCCATACGCCGACAACACTCCTGAGAGTTGAACGGATCACGATCATCAAGATATGAACTACAAAACAGGTATCTACCACACTATCCCTGCACCACGATCGCACAGGCGAACCTGCACCAGCATCTAGGTGCTCTACAGTCCCTGCCAACATACTCCTAGCACTCAGAGTGGTTCGCACCCGGCGTCGGCGTGTTGCTCCTCCAGGGCCATGGCACCTGTTGCAGAACCCCTACGGCAATGATGAGTCCATAAAACGCGGTAAACCCAAGCGCAACCCATCCGATCATAGCAGAGTAGGCCGCCACCACCAAACTTAGCAGCACAAAGGCTCCTACGATCAGGGCACCCATCAGAGCAGCTGCAGAGACGGCATATATCTGTACTTCGAACTGGCTCGTTTTGCCATTCACCCCATCCCAGTCAGCAATCCAGTGGTATTTGAAGAATGTCAGGAGAGTCGAGCAGAGAGAGGCGTTCGCCAGAGCAAGCAGAAACAAGAGCCAGCTGATAGCAAGGAATAGCTGTGTCTGCCGGAGATCAAATACAGGGTTTGCGGAGCGAGGGTTGGTGGTATCGCCGGAGAGGACGTAAGAGAAAGTGACGCTTGTGCCGAGAGTTGATATGCCGATGACAGTGGTAAAGAGCCCTTTGAAGAAAGCCGCGACAGACGAGCCAGGATGTTGTGTCATGGGGCGGATGTAGGAGAGACTGTGGCCGTGCTCAGAGTTCAAACCGGTTCGAGTTCTCCTGGCGATTTCATTGGCGGAATGCGCTGTCGCCGAACTAATTTGCATTTCGTTCGAGCCATCGTCTTTACTGGATGCAGGATCATGGTATCGAGCCTCAGGTGGTGTTGTGGAAATCTTGACGGCGACCTCTGGCGCAGCTATGCTCCCACGAGAAGCCATGTCGTACTAGAGCGCGTTACTTGGCCACAAATTCACAGTGAGGCCAAGATGAAGCTGGGTTGACTCACCCGTACATGAATCGAGCATGATGCGTAACTCGAATCGGTGAGAAGGAGTAGTCACGCACGGGAAATAAAGGATTCTCAGAAGGGACTCAGAGACACATTGCTTGTATCTTGTTCACGCCGAGCAGGCATGGAGCCTGAGCATGGAAGTCGCACCCAAGTGCCTGCGCAGCAGCCCATCGTCTCAAATCTCTCAGAGACCCAACCTGATGTAGCATTACCACATCCACGCCGCGAATCCTTGTCTTGCTTGCTTCCACTATAAGATCGCTTCAGCATAGCTAAGAGCCTGTATTTGTCCTCCAGTCGTGTCAAGATGACGCGGAGAATATGGATATCGTAGGTCATCCGCTCGAAAGATTGATACCAGCCGCATGCTGTGGAAGGGTTGAGAGTGTCTGACCAGAACATCACCTGCAGCTCACGCGCCTGATTGCAGGCTCTGGCTCATCGCCGACCAAACAAAGAACAAATACTCCTGCAGAGCGCCTGGCGTCCTGCAAGAGCATATGCAATGCTTTGACGGTGAGTCAACTAGCACTGTTCTCACGTCGCTCTCTCTGACACGGCCCAGCATACCTGGCGCAGCGGCAACGTCGAGCGCGAAGACGAAGCTGCCTTGAATTACACCCTCAAGCTGTTGCAACGCCTGGAAGCAATCCTACACGACGAGTCACGGAGAGCCGCACCACATTCCTGCCTCCGCTATGTGGCCTCGAGTCAGGCCTATATCATAATTACGAAGCTTGCGGTGTCCTCTTCGAATACCGATATCATCAAGACCTCAGCCCAGCTCTTCCACATTCTCATCAATGGCGAGGCCGAAGGGCTGCTCGACAGCAAGCTGTTTACCAGGTCTCTGCTGGACCTGGTCTGCTTTGCTACAATAGGAGGAAGAATCATTGTTGAAGAACGGCTACAAACAGATCTAGTGGAACTCCTGTTCGAGATTGCCACCAAGATCAGGTTGGATCCCGATATCCTTCCAGCTTGGTTCTACCCAGACCGAGAGACGACTCGTGGCCGCAACGCTGCAGATGACACTAGGAGAAGTCAGTTCCCGTTGTTCCATGTTCTGGTACAGTATGTCCATCACGACGGCCCGGTCGGCGACTTCGCCCGCACGGCGCTGTTATACCTGACCGAGACTGCGTCCAAGTTCAAGCCCCTAGAAACCTGGATGATTGAAAGTGACCTAGCACCTCAGATGGCCAGTGGCCTCGGTGCTTTGTACAGCAGGCTTAGCAGGCAGTCAACTACCTTGTCAGTGCATGGATCAGCGCCGCCTATTGTCCTTCTCTCAGACCATGCGGAGAGCATATCCCTCATTGCAGAGCCACCTCCAGAGCTGCAACAGGACAGCAAGGCATTCTTCACGTATTTGGCTTTTTGGCAGGACACACTAAACCATTGTAAGTCGGTCGAGGTCAGTGACACTTTACTCGACCACTTCCAGGTGCTTTTTGTCCAGCAGCTGTTGTACCCCTCGCTGCTTGAATCCTCAGATGTCGAAGGTGGCTCGACCGCTGCTGTCATCGATCATCTGTCACAGATCCTGCGCGCACTTCATCATTTGCAACTGGTGGATCGTATATTACAGTATCTTCTTGCTTCACCCAACATGCCTCAGCACCCAAGGGACAGGGGTCACCGACGCCAGCGTATGTCTGTCAGCAGAAGAAAGAGCATCGATCATTTGAAGGCCTTGGCGGAGGTTGCGGACAGCCCGTCCCCGAACTTGTTCAACCTTTTTGACCTGATGGTAATGAGCTTAAAGTCGCGTCATTCGCAGACCGTAAATGCTTGCCTCAGGTTACTGTCCGTCATTCTCGAACATCATCATTCTCATGTTCTTCCGAATCTGTTCAGACTCGTGCCAACCACGATGGCTCCAGGTCAACGGAGCGTCAAGCATCTGAACCATTCATTGCTCAAGTTGATCGACTACAGTGCGACAATTGCCAAGAATCCAGACATGGACGCCTCATACCAGGGCGTGCTGTCGGACGGTCAAGTCATCCTCGAACAGCACAGCTGCTTCAGGATAGATGAGTCGGAGATGAAGTCTGCGTATACCACTACTACGTCCATATCTCATGAATGCAAACTTTTCGAGGCTATCCTGACCCTATTACGAACCTTCTTTGCGAACGACACTACGACGAATTTGAGCTTGACTCGGGCCATCTTGGACTTGGCTGCTTGTCAGCACATGGACGTTCACGGATGGCTCCTACCATCAGATGGTGGACTGGACACGGAAGACCGTTCAATGCTGAACATCACCTACGTTGTCTCGGATCTGGTCGAACAAGTTCGTCAATGGCGGTCACAATTCACTGAGTGGGATCAGCTCATCACAAGAAGAAGGCTTGAGCTAGATGATGAGGAGCCGCCCTTCCGCCCTTCGGACCCATGGAGCGTTACCGGACAGGCAAGAGACACCAACACCAGTGAGCGAAGGACTTCGCCTTCAAGTATCAATTCTCGGTCACGACCGACAACTCCTAAGAAGACTGCGATGACCGAGTTCGGGTCCATAGATAGTACAGTATCTATGACTAGAGGAAATCAGGGCAGCTTGGTGGAACGGACTTTGGCCCATTCGCCTCTACGCCAATCGATGCCCGTGCAGCCTGAGCAGGACGATGTTCAAGCGCAACAACATGAACCGTTGATCCTACCACCGGCTCCCACGACACTGAAGACGCAGATCCAATTGCTATACGCAAAAGCACCGGAAGAGGCGTCCGAGTCTCTGCCTGTACATGCTGGGCGGAAGCAGAGTTCTAGTCCAGTACCTGACCGAAGGCTTGCGCTGCGCGGAAGTGACGAGTCGGGCACTGCAACCCCCGTTGGGGGCCGAGATGAGGATGGACCTCGAGGCCAAGTCAGCCTCAGCCATGTATTAACCAACGCCATCATTCTCCAGGAGTTCATCCTCGAGCTTACTGCGATAATCCAGCTTCGCGCGACATTTTTCAACGAGGTGGACTTTGGAACAACGGTCTCTGATTAGTGGTAGTGAAAGATGAAGCAGATTTTGAAAGCGAGTCGATGAAGTGCGAATCCTCGGTTGCCTTACTTGTAGCATTGGGCATTGGCGATACCCTTGTCACTGCAGCGCGGTGTAGGCGTCTTGATTTTTGCGGGCCAAGTACTCTGGTCAACCCATATCAGACACCAAGGTCAAACACCATTTGGCACCTGTGCTTCTTCGCTTCCCAACGTCAGACGTTCAAACTCATCCAACAACTGTAAGAAGTGGTTCCGCTTCCAACTACTGATCCAACTGATGGTGAAGGCGTTCCTTTGCAACTGAATCAACTCCTTCCTCGTCACATTCAGTTCCGGAGCCGAGGCGAGTTTGAGCATATTTTCATTCACGTATCCCCTGAAGTATGCTGGATCGTCACTATTCACCGTCACACGGACGCCCTGTCTCAGCAAGTCGATGATCTCTTTGCCTTTAAAGTCATCTGTGACGATACTGTTTGAGATGGGACACGCCGTCAATCCAATGCCTCTCTGTTTCAACGTGGATATCAGCTCGGGCGAGTCGACAATGTTGGTCCCGTGGTCGATGCGATCGACTTGGATCTCATTGATGGCCTGCCCTATATGTGTCAACGTGTTGGGTTGATCGATGTCACAATGCATGGTGATCAGAAAGCCCTCCTTGGCCGCGCGCTGAAACACGGCCGCGAACTTTGCCGGCGGGTTGTCGCGTTCGTCGCTGTCCAGCCCCACGCCGATGATGACGTCCTTGAAGGGGAGGGACGACATGAGCGTGGCCATGGCGTACTCGGCGCTGTGGTCGCGCAGGAAGCACATGATCAGGGAGGCCGAGATGCCGAGACCGCGCTGCGCGGTCTGGATGCCGGCCTGGTAGCCGCGCACGACGGTGGGGAACGGCACGCCGCGCGAGGTGTGGGCTTGGGGGTCGAAGAAGAGTTCGCAGTGCTTGACGTTCTGGGCGTGGGCGACGGTCAAGTACGAGACGGCCAGGTCGGCGAAATCTTGCGCCGTCTGCAGCACCGACAAGTTGGGATAGTAGACTTGGAGGAAGGTGGTGAGGTCGTGGAACGAGTAGGTCGAGCCGGTCTGGTCCAGGGCCGAGAGTGAGGGTGGCAGCGGGAGGTTGTTCCGCGCCGCCAGGGAGCGCGCAAGGCTTGGCGTAAGGCAGCCTTCGAGGTGGACATGCAGTTCGGCCTTGGGGAGGGCGGATATAAAGGAGGGGAGGTCCATGGTCGGCGAGAGATGCTGTGTTGTGGTCTGGGAGGCCATGTTGCTTGTGGGTGGGTATTGTGTCTGTAATTGTTCTTCCCTACTCGCTCAAGAACGATATGGTGCTTGTACCGTCAACGCGCGGTTCACTTTCACCTGGTTAGGTCTTTTGAGCTGATGATAAGCGTCTTCCGCTCCGCTCGGTGGGCTTCGAAGGTACCCGTACTCGGCAACCCCCGAGGGACGGACACAGGTCTTGGCCAGTGACCTCCGCTACGTCTGCACGAGGGACGTGTTCGTCCGGATGACACAGATGGGCTCAGAAAACATGTACACAGTGGTAAGTAACGGGGCACGGAGAATGTCTTCCTTGCCTTATCGTAGCCTCTGGCACATGCTTCCAGGTGATTCCAAGGCGACGATATGAGCAGGCCGCAGGTACTGTAACCACTGGCTATCTCGTGACGCGATAAGGCTGTCAGCCAAAAGTCGCAGGATTGGATCCTGCCTGGCTCCGGTAGTCGTGGTTGCAAGTTGATTCGTTTGGCGATTTGTCTCTTGTCAGACACCTATCGTTTGAATCGCTTGTCAAAGAACCGGATGTCGTAAATGGTGTTGTACGAATCCTCCAATCATGGTTGATATGGTCGACGAAGAATCACGTGAAGAATCGTCAGCTCCGAATGACCGACCGGGATAGAGTTCTGCAACCATGGCGGGCTTGCAGCTGAGTTGGAATCGATCGTCGCAAAACCGGGACATCTGTGGGTTTTTCCTGCAGCACAAGGACTGCAAGTCATGGTGAGAAGAGTACTCCAGTACTGTGTACAGCAGTCCTCGTCAGGGGAAAGTCTAAGGGGAGGAGACATCGGCTGTCTCTGTGCAAGCACTGTTCAGGCGCCATCGAAGCACAGGGGGGTGCGCCGTTAGCCGTTGGAATTCGGGTGCTAGGCTTGAAAGAGCCACCTGAAACAACCGGGGAGCTGGAAGCTGGAGCATCCCGGGCGCCCATCCTTAAGTGGTGGGCGGGATCACGAACACGCCGCCTGGCCTGCGGACACGCGCTGCGCTCAGTTTTCTGGGAGACCGAAATAATTCTCCTGATTTAGAGCCCGCGCCCTCGTCTTGGTCGTCATCAGCATCTGTTCACTCCAGCTGTTCTTCTGGCTTTTGTTTGAGCCCGTGTTGTCGCTGCGCGTCGTCGTGGACGTCGACTCACATCGTGCAATCACCGCATTGACCCTTCTCCACGCACGGTGGACAATTGGTTGCAGTGGTGATCTGGTGCCTTGCATACTGCTGCCCTTGGCACGCTGGAATTGGACTCGGACGATCATCCACCTCCTCGCACCCACGAATCTTCTCAGCTGCGGTCGCTTTTTAATCTCGACCGAGCTCCATTCTTCGACCGTCGCTGCACGCCTACGACGATGGATTGTGCTTGAATGAGGCACTTGGTTTGCGCTGAGCAAGCCTTGCGATCCCAGTACACCGTGTCTGATCCGGCCTCACCTCCCGAACCATCCCCTCGAGCACCGTCGAGTCGCATGAGGTGAGTCGAGGCACACACCCTCTACGGACCCTTGAGCAGCTCCGTCCGCGCGAAGGAAGTCAACAAACGATGGCCTTCCTATTCAAAAGCAGACGAAACGCGCCGCCTGCGTCGGGCTTACCCCCTGCCAGTCGAAACATCCATACTTCTGACGGCACATCTGGTTCGGCGTCAGCACCCAATGGATCAATAGACAGTACAGGAGAACGCTCGACGCAGTCGCCACCCCCCAACGCGGGTCCGAATGGATCCATCACTTCCATGAACTCAGTAGCGAATGCGCCTACGTATCCACGGCGCGAACGATCAGAATCAGAGTCGGCGGTATGTCCCTGTTCGATGCCTCCTCTCCGTGGATTGCATTTCTGACATGATGGTGCGCATAGTCGCGGCCCACGACGAGTTCACAAGCGACTCAAGTACCCAATGCCGCACTGTACCCCTGGTCGCAACGGCGACTGAACTTTCCCACTCCGCAGTCCAACCCGTTCCCTCGATACGGCGCCGCTGTGAACGCAGTCGCCTCAAAAGATGGGGATGTCTATATCATGGGTGGTCTCATCAATGGCTCTATGGTCCGAGGAGACCTATGGATTGTCGAATCGGGCGTGGGCAACCTCTCCTGCTACCCAATTGCGACGGTCTCTGAGGGCCCTGGACCGCGCGTCGGCCATGCCAGCTTACTTGTCGGCAATGCTTTTATTGTTTTCGGCGGTGATACCAAGATGGACGATAACGACCTGCTTGATGACACTCTGTACCTGCTTAACACTTGTGAGTGTGCTATCCTCGGTCGTGACTCGGGGTGCCGCTGACCTTTCCAGCTTCTCGACAATGGTCAAGGGCGTCCCCGCCAGGCCCACGCCCGTCCGGCCGCTATGGCCATACTCTCAACATTCTGGGCTCCAAGATATACATCTTTGGAGGCCAAGTTGAGGGCTATTTCTTCAACGATCTAATAGCTTTCGACCTGAACGCCCTGCAGAACCCGACAAATCAATGGGAGTTTTTACTGCAGAATACAGGCGAGGACGTTGCTCAGAGTGCTAAAGTGCCCGCCGCAAGAACCAACCACACCGTTGTGAGCTATAATGATCAGCTCTTTCTGTGAGTAGCGCAGCGAAGACGCTCTGGACATGTGGACTGACCAGGACCTACAGATTCGGAGGTACAAATGGGACTCAATGGTTCAACGATGTTTGGACCTACAGCCCGGCTACAAACTCCTGGACTCAACAAGACTGTATAGGATACATTCCAGCACCCCGCGAGGGCCACTCCGCAGCCTTGGTCAACGACGTCATGTATATCTTCGGCGGCAGAACCGAGGAGGGTACCGATCTTGGTGATCTCGCGGCTTTTCGCATTTCGTCCAAGCGATGGTACACGTTCCAGAACATGGGACCTTCTCCGTCTCCCAGGTCCGGTCACAGCATGACAGCATATCGTGATAAGATCATTGTACTGGCCGGCGAGCCTAGTTCGGCACCTCGAGACCCAGCAGAACTCAGTATGGTTTACGTCCTGGACACGGCAAAGATCCGGTATCCAAATGACGCTGCTGGGGCAAGCCAAGCTATAGATGCTCGACAGCCCAACAGTCCAACCAGGAGGCCAAGCACGGAAGCCAGATACGCCATGCCCGTGCGTTCAACATCACGGGAGGGACAGGGGACTCCAAATGCTCCTCGTGAACAGTTTGCTGGAGGGCCAGTTCAGCGGCCAGATCCGACACAGAACAACGGCCAATCGAGACTACCGCGAGCCTCCATGGCGCAAGCTCCTGCCGGGCCGCCTCCACAAGGCCAAGCTCCCAACCCTCGAGCCAACGGCGTCCAGTCTCCTTCAGGTGCGCCCGAAGGGCCTAAACCACGGTACAACGGCCCCGCAGTGGACACTAGAGGTCCTTCAGCGGGCCCCAATGGTGTCAGGACCGCTCATGCAGACGGCATGGTACAGCCTCCAGCTATCCGGGAAGTCCAGAAAGAGAATATCCGCCCAAGCCGAGAGAACAGCCCCAATACTCATGGCCGGAGGACTCCGATACAACGAACTGAGTCGAAGGCGAAAGCCATGGAAGCAGGAGAGGCAGCTCCGCTTGTTAGCAGCGGCGTGGCCAGGCAACGGTCGCTACGGTCCCAACGAGCCCAAAGTTCCATCGATAGCACCGAGGACGGACTGCTCGGGCGCTCATCCTCTGGCAGACACCATCCTGAGGTGCAAACCGATAATCGCAGCCTGCGAAGCATCCATGGTGACGAACCCAGATCCCCCAAGTTGAGTGCCCATCAAGAGGCGCTGCTCAAAGAGTTGGAGACGGTGAAGAAGTCAAATGCTTGGTACGCTTCAGAGTTGGCGCTTGCTCGGAAGCAAGGCTACCATAGCGGGACTGCCTCAAGTCCCACGTTCGACGACCGCGCTGTCAGCCAAGTCTCAGACGACGACCGACCGCTAATGGAAGCCTTCATGATGATGAGGACAGAGCTCCAGAAAATGCAAGAAGCTATGGAGGCACAAGCTTCGTCAATGGCCAAACGCATTGCGGAGGTCGAGCATCAGCGAGACGCAGCTGTCACGGAAGCTGCCTACGCACGAGCCAAACTTGCAGCCCATGGCGGAAGTCAACGGAGCACGCCCCAGCCCGACCATGGCCGCGAGCCCGACGAGCAAGAGCGTTTTACAGATCTTAGCCGACGGCTGGCTCTGGCTCTTGCTGCACAATCGGAGCATAAAGCCAGACTTGACACACTGAACAATGACCTTGCGTCCGAAAGAAGAGCTCGCGAGCTCGCTGAAGATTCCATGGACGCTTTACAGCAGCGATACGACGACCTGAGCAAGAGCCGCAAACCTGCTGAAATCGAAGGTCTCCGCGCCGAGCTCCACGAAGCTCAGAGCCTAGCTCGGGCAGAAGCAGGTCGCAGGGCTGAAGTCGAGGAAGAGCTACGGACCTTACGGGTCGACCACGAGACCTTGAGCAAAACGCATGAGGATATTTTGGGGCGCTTGAGCAGCCACACTTCATCAATGGCGGCTTTAGAAGCGGCGGTCGCGGCATCTACGGGCAAAGCTAGCCTGTTTGAACGACAAATAGAGGAAGAGCGCGGCCACAGAGAGGCTGTTGAACGGAAACTGGCACAACTCAGAGCCGAGCACGAAGAACGGACGACAGAGCTCGAAACTACTTCGAAGCGACTGCGCGACGCTGAAGAGCTGGCGGAGACGCATGCAAAAGAAGCAGCGACACATCGTGAAGCCTTGCTTGCCGGCCTGGCCAAGCTGTCCAATCCAGAGCCAGCCGCGAAACAGGATGCTGGTGCTGAGCAAAAAATGGTAGCTCTCCGTGAATCAGCAGAGCAAGCCTCGGCGCTGGCCAAGCGCAACCAGGAAGCTGCAGATAAAGCTGCGCAAAAACTCCGTAACGCGGAAGAACGGATCGCGGGTTTGGAAGCATATCAGGAGCAATCCAGCCGTGAGGCGCTGCAAACGCGCCGACAACTACAAGCAGCGATGCGTGAGGCGCAGAACTACCAGGCGGAAATCCGCGAACTGCGCTCAAACCTCGAAATGCACCAGCGAGATGCCAGTGCGCTTGCCGTCCAGCACAGTGCTCTCAAAGATTTACTGGGTGAGCGCGGCCTGAATGTGTCTGATGTGCGACGGTCGCCGGCTTTTGGTGACCACTCGCCAACGTCAAGGTTCGGTACGCCCGAGCAGGCGCGTCTTCGCGAGATCGAACAGCAGCTCCAGGCCAGCATCAAGGCTCACGAAGAGACCAAGAGCCAGTCCGAGGCTCGTATGCAAGAAGCCGATAGCACGTACAAGGAGAAGTTGGAGCAACTTGAGAACGACTACCAGTCGGCTGTACACTATGTTAAGGGCACCGAAAAGATGTTGAAGAAGATGAAGGAAGAGCTCACCAAGTACAAGTCGCAGAATGCCCAGCTAACGACAGAGTTGGAGACCGCCCGAAGTGCAAGCGCCACTTCTGGCACGGCAGCGGATGCTGCCTTGGGGGATAGCGAACGATCTCTGCTGCAGACCTCGATTGACGAGATGAAGACCCAGACAAGCCAGCAGATAGCGCAACTGGAGTCAAGCGTCTCTTCCCTGAAGGCCGACCTTGCTGCTGTACAGGCAGAAAGAGATCAACAGAAAGCCGATCAGGAACAACTGAGTCAGACCGCACAACGGTTGGGCAGGGAGCTGGAGCAGCTGAAGTCAGAAAACACGATGCTCGAGCAGCAAGCCCAAGAAGCTGAAAGCCGGATAACGGTGCTGCTTGACCAAGTCAATGAGAGGGTGGGCAACTACCGGCGGCAATCGCAGTTGCAACCCCTACCGCATGGCATCAATGGACTTGGTCACAACCGGGACGAGAGCACCTCCACGCTGACAGACGTCTCGGTGAACGATGACACCCTCACCCACGACGACAGAGGATCCGTAGCGCTGGACAATCTTGCGTCAGAGCTGGAGACCTTACGATCACAGTGGGAGAGCACAAGCCGCAGTGCTTATCGACTGAGCGCGCATTCGGAAAGGACCCCCACCGCAGAGACCCATGGCACCGAGCTCAGTGACAATCTTGCAAACTGGAGACGACGACTTGCGGAGGAAGAAAATGGGGCTAAAGAGCCACAGACCGTCGCTTGAGGAGTTGGGCATTGACCATTTCTGTGTGAACATGTTCTTTTCTGTCTGTTGGAGTTGTTGTCTTTGGGGTGGCGCTTTCGTGGATGACAGTAATGAAGACAACGTCCATGTCGAAGAGCTGGTCTACTGACTAGGGCTCCAAATGTAGTTCTAACTGCCAGATCATTAGGTGCAAGGGATGGGATAGGATTTGAATGGGGGCTGATTGGTCTTTATTAGGACTAAATTCAACGGTTCGTACTCGATGAATGAATGTCTGATACTTCAAGCGAGCGCTCCATGGGCCAATAGTCTAATGCTGTGAAGTCGCTATCTGCTGGCCCTTTGAAACCCTCTTGCTGTGACTGGCCGGGAGAGCGAAGTTCAGCCTTGTCGTCGCAGCTGCAAGGCTGAACGATGTCGAACTTCCCCGCAAAAACCAAAGACCGACAGAATGAGGCGGGAAACTCTCACCGGCGCGCAATCCACCCTTACCTCGTACACGGTGTTGCACTGACGTGCTTTGAGATTACAGCTCTTCTTCCTCATGCCAATCTTATGTCCATTCATGGTTATTAGACACAGCTGAAGCCCGTGCGACGCCGGCGACACCCTGCCTTCAGACCACGCTCACTACCACGTTACCCTCCTCTCACCTGCGGCTGCCTAAGTTGACTCGGCTGTCCATGTCTATACCTTATAGGGCGCTCCACCCGTAGCGTGAGGGCTTCTGTGCCAGCTTCGATTCGACACGCACCAACCGCGCATAGCTACACCCTGAGCAGAGGGGATGGCTACCCAGAACGGCGTCGCCAGTGTCGGTCTGGGACTGCTGGACGTCAACCGACGCAGACCCGCCACGCAGGGAGGCGACCGGCCTGCACCTTCGGACATGCTTGACGATGGCGATGGCTTCCCGTCAAGCTCCACCTCTGGTCATCATTCTCCCGTGAACGGCGCAGGTCGAGCTCAACAGAATGGTTACACCACGCCACGAATAATACCTCAGGAGGCGGAAGACTATTTGACAGCGAGACCGACCGGCCTGCTCCAACGCACAAAGAGCGACCTTGGACCCCGGCGGAAGGAGGGCCTTCAGAACGTACCTGCAGAAGACAAGCTGGCGCACATTAGACATGGCTGGGACGACGAGTACACGTCAAATGAATACCTGTCACTGTTACACTCGACTTTTTATATGTACTACACCGAAAAACGACACGAGAGCAATGGGTCACAGTCGGAGGAATCGAAGCAGTTCCCCAGCGTGGACTGGCGCATGAAAGACAGAATGAAGACCGTGTCTGCTGCGCTGGCAATATGCCTGAATATTGGCGTTGACCCTCCCGATGTCATCAAGACGAACCCCACTGCCAAACTTGAGGCGTGGGTCGATCCGACCGCAAGCAGTGGCGGGAACACGAAAACCATGGAACAGATTGGCAAACGTCTACAAGAACAGTACGAGTCATTGAGTCTGAGGACAAGGTACAAGCAGTATCTTGATCCCTCGATTGACGAGACAAAACGTTTCTGCATCTCATTGCGTCGTAATGCGAAGGATGAGAGGGTGCTCTTCCACTACAATGGCCACGGTGTGCCTCTTCCAACGCCGTCAGGAGAGATCTGGGTTTTTAACAAGAACTACACACAGTACATCCCTGTCGGCTTGTATGACCTACAGTCATGGCTCGGGGGTCCCAGTCTCCTCGTTTATGACGTCTCACATGCCGGCAACATCGTCTACAACTTCGAGACACTGCTCGCCAAGCACGAAAAGGAAAACGAAGAGCTCAAGAAACGGGATCCCAACGCCCCCATCCAAAACTACGGAGACTGCATACAACTCGCAGCTTGCGGCAAGAACGAGATGCTGCCGACGAATCCAGATTTACCTGCCGACCTCTTCACATGTTGCCTGACGACGCCGATCGACATTGCGCTGCGATATTTTGTTCTACAAAACCCACTCCCCAGTGGACATACTATTGAAGATGGGAAGATCCCGGTTCCAGGCCGTCTACAGGATAGACGGAGTCCGCTGGGGGAGCTTAACTGGATCTTTACCGCCATCACTGATACGATTGCGTGGAATATTCTGCCGCGGAAACTGTTCAAAAAGCTGTTTCGGCAAGACCTCATGGTAGCTGCATTGTTTCGAAATTTCCTGCTGAGTGAGCGTATCATGAGGGCAAATCACTGTCACCCCATATCATCTCCGGCTCTTCCTGAGACACATCGACATCCTCTTTGGCAGAGTTGGGATCTTGCCATGGAGATGGTCCTAGCACAACTCCCTCTGCTTCGGGAAGCAGACGAGGGGAAGCGTGTCTACGAGTATCAGCATTCAACATTCTTCGCCGAACAACTCACCGCGTTTGAGGTATATCTTAGCTCTGGTCCAACCAAGGATCGAGCACCGGATCAGCTGCCGATCGTCCTGCAGGTACTCCTGAGTCAGGTCCACCGATTACGAGCGTTGATCCTCTTGAGCAAGTTTTTGGATCTGGGCCCGTGGGCTGTTCACCTCGCTTTGAGCATTGGGATCTTCCCGTACGTGGTGAAACTTCTGCAGGCGGCGTCCCTGGAGCTCAAGCCAGTAATGGTCTTCATCTGGGCTCGAATCATGGCAGTCGACTCGACCGTCCAGTTGGACCTGCTCAAGGACAACGGAATCCACTACTTCATCTCTATTATGAATCCGCGGTCGGATATTCCTGTTGGCAACGCCAGCGAGCACCGGGCCATGTGTGCATTCATTGTGGCCACATTCTGCAAGAACTACCCCCCTGGCCAGACCGTTTGTTTGTTGCCGGAACTTTTCAGTGCCTGTTTATTGAACATGGCTGAACCTGAAAATCCCCTGCTGCGGCAGTGGTCATGCCTGTGTCTCAGCATGCTGTGGAAGGACTACGCAGACGCGAAGTGGATGGGTATCAGATGTATGGCTCATTCCAGGCTCTGCGAACTCTCGCTAGATCCCGTCCCAGAAGTGCGTGCGGCTATGCTTCATGCTTTGACCAACTTCATTGGCATACCAGATCTTACAGACCAAGTCTCTCAGATCGAAGAGGGCATTGCCTCCTCAGTGCTTTTCCTGACTTCTGACGGCAGCACCTTGGTGCGGAAAGAGTTGGTCGTGTTCCTCTCTCACTTCGTCAAGCGCTACGAAAACAAGTTCATTGTGGTCGCCTACGAACAGCTGGTGGAAGAACGGGATCGTCATCCATACAAACAATCTGAATCAGGAAGCTTGGAGAACGGTCAATCGCTCAAGTGGGTGCCAATATCGGCAAACACGATCTACGGGTCAATCTGGGTCCAAATTTTGATGCTGTCTGTTGATCCTCACCCAGAAGTCGCACGAAACGCATCCCTCATTGTCGATCACGTGCATGAGACGCTGGTCCACTCGCCGATGAGCCACATGGCTTTGGCTGTTCTCGACGACCTGTTGAGATTTGCGAAAAGAGAGGACTCCCAGCTCAAGAAAGTTTCTAGCAGAGACTCGCTGAAGCCGGTTCAAGCACAGCCTGGCACTCCTCCGCCGACCTTGACAAAACAGCAAAGCTACTTGTCTCTGAGCTTGAAGAGAGCGGGCAGCTCGCTTCGCAATCTTGCTTTCGGCACCGGTTCATCCAATGCTTCCTCCAGCTCGACAAGCCCTGAGGTATCTCCGACAAAGACGAGAGATCTAGTCCAGCCGGTCAACACTCCCAGGAGTCGCCTCCCACCCGAATGGAGTCGACCGCCAGACTCACCCAATGCCACGAACACCCCAGGGTCGTATCATTCGGCACAGCAGCCCACTTCAGCTGGCTTTGTGCCCTTGGACCCAAAGAAACCGCCAGCGTTCCCCTTGGTGAGCACCCTGTTAGAATGGTCAACTGAATACTTTCGGGAACCGCAAATGCGACCAAACGACCCGGACGAACCAGGCTCGGCAGATTACAACTCGAGATTATGGCGTAGGAATCGTAACGAGAAGATCATTGCCGACAACCAGCCCCTCAAAGCGGTGGCGGGCAGCTCGAGATGGGTTCGTCCGCAGGGCTTCTTGAACAACCAGACCCAGCCAATGAAAATGACGTTCCACCAATTTGATGATCACCTTGCCGTCGCCGACGACAAAGACACCATCACTATCTGGGACTTCCAGAACAATGAACAAATCAGTCGGTTCAGCAATGGCAACCCTACCGGCTCCCGGATCAACGATGCCAAGTTTCTCAATGAGGATGATCAACCTCTCCTCATGGTGGGCAGCTCAGACGGCGTCGTCAAGGTGTACAAGAACTACGCCCATCCCGCAGAAGTCAAGGTGATCACAGCCTTCCGAGCTCTGACGGAGCTGATCCCCAGCAATAAAAATGCCGGGTTGGTGTTTGACTGGCAACAAGGCCAAGGCAAAGCCCTCGTTGCGGGCGATGTCAAGGTCATCAAGGTTTGGAATGCCGCGACCGAGCTGTGTGTGGGTGACATTCCTGCTAGGAGCTCCAGCTGCGTGACTTCCCTGACGAGCGACAAAGTGGCGGGCCATATTTTTGTTGCCGGCTTTGGAGACGGTGTGGTGAGAGTCTTCGACCAAAGACTCAACCCCCGCACCGCCATGGTCAAACTCTGGAGGGAGCACAGGCAATGGATCACGAACATTCACATGCAGCGCGGTGGCGTGCGAGAACTCATCTCCGGTAGTCGCAATGGGGAGGTGAAACTATGGGACCTGCGCAATGATAAAGCTGTCCTGACGCTCAATGCGACGAGCAACACACCCTCACCCTTGAAACTCGATAATATGAAAGACGGCACGAGCTCTGCAATCTCCACGCCGGAGAAACCAACCGCCCTGCTCAGGAGCCTGTCCGTGCATGAACACGCTCCCATATTCTGCGTCGGCACAGATCGACATGAAGTCAAAACGTTCAACACCAACGGTGACGCTCTCGGGGTGTTTGAACCGTCGTCCACGCGCATGGCTCAATTGGCGGGCGCGGTGGGGAGTGTTGGGGTTAATGTCGGGGTTAGTGCCGGACGCTTAGGGATTGGAAGGCAGCCCATTGTGGCGACGGCGTATCATCCTCATCGCATGGTGTTGGCGTGTGCGGGGTTGGGAGATACCGGGGTCGGACTGGTTAGTTACTAGGAGCAGCATGGGGAACGGGGCGAGAAGCATGTCGAGTGCGATGATGGAGCCAGCAAGGAGAGAGAGCGAGAGAGGGAGATGGCGAAGGGCAAGAGCGAGGTTCTCACCGAGGCGAATGAGGACGAGGTTGTTGCGGCTTTGTTGATTTGAGTGCAACGACGGGTTGAGGATACGTCTTTGCCGGAGTAAGGGTAGCGCGGCGATTCTACATGTTTGGCAGGAAGTTACGGATTGACCACTTCCATATGCTTTGCTCGGGATGGAAGTAAGCCGAGACACGACTTTTGCACGACAGGTCAGATGGCCAGGCCCGGCCAGCCGGATACTTGGGATCACCATCACTACGGGGCGGTGGATGTAATGCTCTGAGAGAGTACGGTAGGACTCGGATGGCAGGTCATGGGCATTGCGCAGCTTGCTTAGCATCACATAGCGTGGCATGGCGAGCGTAGCATGGCGAGTGTAGCAGGGCAGGACAGGGCAGGACAGGGCAGGATAGGACATAATACGGTGTACTCCTTACACGACACCTACTTTTGTGATAAGACCACAATGATGATTCAGTTGAGAATGCGAAATAGAACGAGAGAGAAGAGGCAATGAAATGTTCTTGCCCTGCTGCGCTGCGGCCGCCGCCACAAGCAAAACCAGGACCGACGGCTAACTATGGAAATGTATAATTATGTCAATCAGGATATTAGAATTGGAATTAGAAACTCGGGGGCATTCATTGAGTCCACTTTACACTACACCACACAACGAAGGACAGTATGAGGCATCGATCGACTCAAGGGGTGAGCTATTACAGTACCAGTACGGGCACGGGCGTTGTGCTCGCTCCTTTTGAGCAACGCATCTGGTGTAGCTATGTAGCTAAGTAGCTACCGTCGCACGGTGCAGAGAGTTGAGTAGAGTGTTGTGTATGACAACTGTCGAATTAGAGTAAGCTACCTAGGTATGGAAGGTCCGAAGACATGGATACATGACTATCGGTGGTACGTGATATGCACGTAACTTGCCGTGCTTAAGGAACGAGCACAAGGAGCACCGCACCGCACCGCAACAGCAACAGCAACAGCAACAGCATCAGACCACGACGGGGTACAGTGTAGCGCGGGAAAGTGCAGTGAACCACCGAGGTATGACTAGGTATGTATCTTCTGCAGCGCAGCGAACTACCTATGTGCCTATGTGTCTTCCATGTAGTTACAGTGCAGTACAGTACAGTACAGTTACGGTTAACAATCACAACTTGATCTTCACGCCAGACATATCCAACCCCAACGCCACGGCCGTCACGACCAACGCATAACCAATCAGCAGAGCCATGGCCTTCGCAGGGGACATGTCTAGGGTGTTGAAGCTGAGATTGACGAGCCCGGTCAAGAGATTCGCGATGAGGAACGCGGCGAGTCCGTTCCCGTTGAAGACACGGAGGATGGTGCTTGTCGCGGTCGCGGCCGTTGCGGTTACGGGTGGGGTTCGCGCTGCCTCGACGAGATTGCCTTTTCGCCGCGCGTCCTTGTTCCCGTCCGAGTCCGTGTCCCGATCCTGTAAAGTTGGTTGTGTGTATGAAAAGGACGGCCCCACCGCCTCGACTAGACCGAATAGGAAGAGCTGGGCCGTGTTGAATGCTACGACCCAGAGCACGTACGGCAGGTTGGCCAGACGGCGGGACACGGACAGGTTGAATGTGTGCAGGTTGGTCGAGAGGGTGTAGAGCGTCGCGTAGACTACGGCGCGGACGATGAGGTTTCGTAGGATAGAGATCCGTTCGCGGCGTGTATTTTCGATCCCGACATCCATCTCCGGTATGTGCTGCCGTTGTTGCTGCCGTGGGTTCGGATCTATCGAGGTTTTGGGCCCATGCCCGTTAAACTGCACAAGAGGCACACCGACTCCCCGCCCAAAGAGGAAGATGGCCAAGTAGCCGACAAAGGAGAAGACGCCTTCGCGGTTCTTGGACAAAAGGTCCGGCCCGCGGGGCGAGATCAGGATGTACGAGAGCAGCGTGGTGTTATTGAGGACCAGCTCGTACGTGACGGTCAAGACGAGCGCGAAGACCTCGTACGACTTGAACACGCGGCGGGTCGCCGTGTCGGAAATCTCAACAAAGGGCGGCAGTAAGGCGAGGGTGAAGAAGAAATTCCAGTGCACGCCGTACTCGGTGACGTGTTCGGCGTAGTCGAGGCCCTTGACGCTGTAGAGCCGGATCAAGCCGAGGACGAACAGCGGGACGGAATGGCGGAGGGCCTTGACGAAGCGGGCGGCGAAGTTGGTGCTGTTGTTGTTCTTCCTCCTCGCAAGTCCAGACGGTGAGTGCGAGGCGTCGTCACCAGAGCGCACGATCGCCCGAGCAGACACCACGCCGGCGGAAAAGACAAAGGATCCGACGCCCAGGTCCATCAGCGAGGTGCCCCATGTTTCCACCTTGGCGTAGCGGCGCGGGAAGATGGGGAAATCGACGGCCAGGATGGCAAGGCAGGTCACCACGAGCATGGACCCGCGATAGTGCGTGAGGAATGGGCGGACCACAAGCGTTGGTGTCTGAGACGCCGTCCGACTGGGAGCGGCGACACTCGCGGCGGATCGGGGCCCAGGCTGACCTCCTGTCGGTCTCTTCGGCCTCGTTGCCGGTCCATTGGACGGGTTCCCTCGACCGGCCCCGGCGCCGAGAGACAGGAGAAGTATCCCCGGCGTGATGAGGAAGATAGTCAACGCGAGCGGCGCGGACGAGTACAGTGTGATGGCGAATAAAATGGCGCAGACATTAAGCAGGAAATCGGCCACCAGGGCGATGGGCGTGTACGGCGTGAAGAACGAATGCCGGGCTTGCAGCGCCGTCCATAGAAAGACTGCAGACTACGCGAGTATCAGTGACCATCCCTCCCTCCCGGCATGACGGGAGTCGTGCTCCTCCTGGTCGACGACTTACAGCGGCGACGAGGGTGACCAAGTTGATCTCGGTCAGCGAGCTTCCGGAAAGATTCGACACAAAGGCCTCCTTCCGGATTTTGTATTGTGCTGCGGGATCCTTGGACATGGTCAAGTCTTGAGCTGGATCATTGCGTTAATGGCATGTCGTCGCGACGGGGTCGCTTTATTGACAGCGTCGAATGCGTGGAAGCACGATTTCAAATGACACATAAAGGGGGTCGCCAAGACTTGAAATGACCGACGATGGTGTGCGACCATCACGACGTGTGTGTGTGTCGAACGTGAGAACCTCATGTATATCTCCACGAGATGAACCTGTTCAGCGATCACACGAATCTAATCCCGACAATGCACACCAGCCCCGTATTCCCAACCAATCACAATATAGGATTCGCACCCAATTCGGGTTCATGGCCCATCCATTAGATAATCTACAGAGTACAGCCCTGCCACCCAGGGGCTGTCAGAATTACCCGGCCACCCGAAATTTAGCCGGTCTGAGTAGTGGACTATATACATAAAGATATCACTATTTACGACCTTTTATGCGCTTGCCACCATTATTTTTGAGTATCGCGCATCTTATGGGCATGTCTGAGATGCGGGCGCGTACTTCGTCCATCTTGATTGCCGCCCAAATGGTCTGGCCGACCTCGATAAGCTGTTCGACCTCCATATTATAAACCCCGCGAACAGCACGCATACGCTGCTTCTATATGTTCCAGGCGGCCTCAGTAGGGTTTAAATCGAGTGAATGAGGAGGGTAAACGAGGTTCTCGATGTTTAATTCATCCCTTTTGCGCTGTGCGAGGCCACTCTTACGGAGACTATATGATGGATCGCCATCCTCAACTAACAGGAATTTATGACCGTGAACTTGACGTGTATGTTTAATGGCGTTAATGTAAACTAATAAAAGATGCTTAGTGTAATAATTTTAGGTAATCGAGTTCCCTTTTAGCTGGATGATTAGCGGTAGTAGTAAACTAGCCTCCTAAACAGCGATAGATGCCTTATGGTCCTTTAGGGACTGTTGCTATTCTTTATCGGTTTAGTATTTAGTCCGGCGAGGTCTTCGAGGTCTTTTTAGCCTCGCCTATACTATCGTACTCTCTACAGCGTGTTGCACCTCTTTAGCTGCCTTATCTACCTTTTTATCCTACTAAAATATAAGCTTTTCGCACTTACTGTGCTAATTAACCTAGCCAGCAGTATAGAGGACGACCCCTTGCTTTTACGGACGCGTAACGACGTTAGCTGGGTCGTGTCGAGTGCCTTCCTCACGTAAAATACGTGGTGGGCGCTATGAGGTCGGGTTAAAATGGAACTCGTCTATGAAATAGACCCATTGCTAATAGTTCTCAATAGTGTAATGCTAGTGCCTCTCAGCATATGTCAGCGCTGCTCCTTTCGACTAACCGGTAAGGGTCAGGTCTCCAGTCACAATGCTCGAGTAGGGGTATGGGGGATACGACACAGGGGCGAGGTATAGCAGACGGCTAGGTGTGACAAGATACTCAAAGGTGGGTCTGAGTAGATGACATGAGTTGGCTACGAAAGAGTGTAACTAGACTGTCTGACAATGAGCGTATATATACCCGTGTGTCCT